GAAAAAAGACTTTTAGGCCCTCTTGGCCCCTAATTTGAGTGTCCAGACCCCTTTTCTGGATTTCATCTTAAAGCTCTTAGGATTTTGAGCACTTTTTGTTCAACAACTATTCAGATATTCTTTTTCGTTTTCGAGTTATTTGCAAAAGAAATATTTAGGGGCCAACCCTTCAACTCCCTAATGGGGACGTTTAGCGAAAAATAAAAGGTTGCATATTGTTCAAAACATGATTTTGAACATCTTTTGTTCAATATTACTTGTCAAAATATTTCTCACTTTCGAGATATAAAGCATCAACGATTTAGCATTCTGGCCCCTTGTAGCCCCTTATTATGTAATATAAGACATAAAAATCATAATATACATTTGTAAATTGTTGAGATAAACATTTTTGCTTCAGTAATATATAGCAAAATTTTGACTGTTAAAGAGTTATCGAAAAAAGACTTTTAGCCCCTCTTGGCCCCTAATTTGAGTGTCCAGCCCCTTTTTCTGGATTTCATCTTAAAGATCTTAGGATTTTGAGCACTTTTTGTTCAACAACTATTCAGAGATTCTTTTTCGTTTTCGAGTTATTTGCAAAAGAAATATTTAGGGGCCAACCCTTCAACTCCCTAATGGGGACGTTTAGCGAAAAATGAAAGGTTGCATATTGTTCAGAACATGATTTTAAACATCTTTTGTTCAATATTACTTATCAAAATATTTCTCACTCTCGAGATATAAAGCGTCAAAGATTTGGCATTCTGGCCCCTTGTGGCCCCTAATTATGTACCATACGTCATAAAAATTATAATATATAGCTGTAGATTGTTTAGATAGACATTTTTGCTTCAGTAATGTATAACAAAATATTGACTGTTAATGAGTTATTGAAAAAAGACTTTTGGCCCCTCTTGGCCCCTAATTCGAGTGCCCAGCCCCTATTTCGGGATCTCATCTTGAAGGTCTTAAGATTTTGAACATTTTGTGTTCAATAATTGTTCAGAAATTCTTATTCGTTTTTGAGCTATTAGCAAAAGAATTTTTTAGGGGCCAACCCTTCAACTCCTTAATGGGGACGTTTAGCAAAATATGAAAAGTTGCATATTGTTTAGAACATTATTTTGAACATATTTTGTTCAATAGTGCTTATCAAAATATTTCTCCCTTTCGAGATATAAAGCATCAACGATTTAGCATTCTGGCCCCTTGTGGCCCCTAATTATGTTTCATATGATATGAATATCATAATATATGGTTGTAGATTGTTAAACTCAACATTTTTTGTTCAGTAATATATACCAAAATATTGATTGTTAAAGAGTTATCGATTAAAGACTTTTGGCCCCTTTTTGCCCTTAATGTGATGAGTCAGCGCTTTTTTCTTGGTATAATATGAAAGATCTCGATGTTTTGCACAAATGATGTTCAGTATGTTTTAACAAAATAATTATACTTTAAAAGATATGAAGCAAAATGTCTTAAAAAATCAGTCATGATTCGTGTCCTAAATTTTGACCCCTACCGAGCTTCCATACTAGAAACTTCCGGAAAATTTCCTGACCCAGGTGCAACATGGCAACATGTCCTCTATTATCACTGAAAATTTCAGCGCTCTAGCTTGAGCCGTTATTGAGTTCTGTCACAGACACGGAGGTCATCTGAATTTTAAGAAAAGGGCGATAACTCTAGACCGGAAGTGATTTTAAAAAAATCCTTCGGCCGGAATTAACTTCAGATAATTGTGCACCAACCCTGAAAATTTGAAACAAATCGATCGAAAAATCTCTGAGGAATCGTCGGCACAAAATTTGTGCAGAAAAAAAGAATAATAATAATAACTAGAAAGTCTGCTATTGCAAGCAATAGCATATGTCGCCCCGTATTAGACAAGACTTTCATTTTTATCATCACTAAAACAAAAGTCCATAAGCTAAGTTTGAACAACCATTGAGTTATATCAGTCCTTTCCATTGCAAACGGAAGACCTTAATTCGGTACATCCCACTCATTAAGAAAGTAGTGCAGGAAAAATACAAGTTCATCAATTTGCAGACTTGCATAAAAGAAATCTGGCAGATGTACTGAACTGAGCCTCATACTTGTTAATTGGCAGTATCTTTCCTATGATAAAAGCTTGGGAAATGTAATTTATGAAGAAGATCAGCCGAATTATTTTGTGTATTGTAACGCCAGTGAGAACTCTGAAATTTCCCTCTTTCACTTTCATTTTAGAGGTTCTACCGAAAAACGAATCTGACATGCCACCATCAATTCGAGCATTTCTGCATTGCAGAGAGCTGATGTGTGTAATGAGATGATAAATCATGTGTGAACTTTCTCAGTTTAGCGGAATCATGAACATTTTCGGCGAGATGAATGTTTTGTATACAGTGGTGATCAAGGCTTTGCGAACCATCAGGAGCGGATCAAAGAATTTATGAATGAATAAAAACTATGGAAATGACGTACCAATTTTTTAATTTATACTTGCACTATCTAATGAAATGAATAATATACAAGTGATAGATATACAAGAAAACGCGAAATGATAATAAATGCAGCTGACAATCGTTATCTTTTTTTCATATAGATAAAATAAAATATTTATAAATTCAAGAGACAAAACAGAAGGAGAATGAATGATGGCAAAATATCACATGACGGGAACTGAATTTTATGAATGAAGATTTTAAAAAGTTACTTGTAAGTTGTATATGTTATATCTGTGTATTCTACTTGGCTGTGTGCTTAAAAAAAAAGGGGGGGGGTCGTCTTGAACATAGTAAATAGCCATAACGTTTGAACGGTAAGTACTAGGGCTTTCGTATTTCAAATATGTAATCCTTGTGAAAAGAACTTTTATTGGATACGACGAACATTGACCCTTTGACCTAGACCTTGGAGAACACATGTGTGCATCTGAATCTTTTTTTCTGTTTCGTTTCTATGGCAACCGTGAGCGACTCATTACAATTATTTTGAAAGTAGAAATCACTTTGACACATTGCAAGGAATAAACATTGAAAGTTTCAAAACGATTGCCTGAGTAGTTATTGAGAAAATCGAAATTAAAGAATTTTAACTTTCACCTGGTTTCCATGGCAATAATCGATTATATGAAAATTTTAAATACGAGTTGCAGAACTACAGATACTAATCATTAAAATAAGAAAAGTTTCATGACGAACGTTTAAGGGACCAGAGAGAACACTCTCGGACAAAATTTGTCGCTTTTTACAGGTTTCCATGGCAACGGTAGACATATTGGAACTGAACGACCTCACTGCACAACTACAACCAGTGATCGTCCTTTAAGGAAAGTTTCAGGAAGATTGTCCCAGCCATCTCCGAGAAACAGCCTGGATAAAAAAAACATGCGTACAATATCAATATGTCGTCCCCGACTTCGTTCGGGGCGACATAATAATAATAAGAAGAAGAAAATTGAAAAAGAAACAAAAGAATAATAGACGGGTCTTCCGCTGAAGACGGAAGACCCTAAAAATAGTGGAAAAGAAACCTAAGAATAACAAGAAGGTCTTCCGCTGAAGACGGAAGACCTTAATAAAAATAGTGGAAAAGAAACCTAAGAATAACAAGAAGGTCTTCCGCTGAAGACGGAAGACCTTAACTAGAGCAAAGCTCGTTGCAAAGCAACGAGAAGGTCTTCCGTCCTGTTTGACCGGAAGTAGCATTAATTTTTAACAAAAATGAGAAATAACGCCTAAAAATGGTTTGAATCCTTTAACACTATGCAAAAATAAGCAATTTTTTGCTACTTCCGGTTTGACCAGAAGTGACGACAACGGACGAAAAAATTATTTTTTTGCTTCTAGAGACATTTGTTACCAAAAAAACTTGTCAAGAACGGCAAAAATACGCGTTTTTCGACTACTTCCGGTTTGGCCGGAAGTGACGACGCCGGACGTTTTCTGACGACTTCAATAGATTAAGCTTGACATTTTGAACAACTTTGCTTCTTTGACGTATTGCAAATTCTCAATACGTTTTGAGATATAAAGAAAAAACTGTTGGCCCCTCTAGGCCCTTAAATTTAGGGGCCAGCCCTTTTTTCGAGATATCATTTGAAAGATCTTTAAATTCTGCACTTCTTTTGTTCTATACGTTTTCACAAAATATTTTCAGGTAAAAAGATATCGAAGAAAAGGTGTGAGAAATTTTGAAATTTGTGATAGGTCTATTTTCGGGCCATAGCGAGCGCCGACGAGCGTCACTTCCGGTAAATTTGATATACCTGATGCACCTCTCCAGACATAGCTCTACCTAGCCTCAAAGTTTGAAGTTTCTATCTAGAGCCGTTTTTCGGGAAAATTGTGGACAAAATGACCCTTAAAAATCAGAAAATCGACGATATCTCTAGAACGGAAGTGACGTCATCGAAACGGAAAAAAACGCATAAGGTTCAAGTGATGTTCCATACGTCCTGAAAGTTTCATAAGATTTTGTTGAGCCGTTTTCGAGAAATCGCGTGCACAAAATCGGTAAGAAAAAAAAAATAATAATAAAAGTGAAAAAGAAACCGAAGAAAAACAATAAGGTCTTCCGCTGAAGACGGAAGACCTTAATAATAAGAAACAGAGTAAAAACAATATGTTCCCCAACTTCGTTTGGGGAACATAATAACGAAACCGAATCGACGGCAAAAGGTCAAAACTTGACATTATTCAAACACTCATTAATAAGCCTTCTTACCATAGATAGCAATTTATTTTTACACATTTTAATTTATTAATTATCGGCTCTTAAATTAATAATTAATCGGAACTGGTTAAAATCTGGAACAGGCCAAACGACTGTACTAAATGACCGGAGAGTGAAAATATATATTTTGCAAAATGTATTTATTTTATCGAATATTCGAATATATTCGAATACTCCTGTCGAATATTCGAATATCAAACATTGACAATTTTGACATTTCTAATTGATATTTTGCATGTTTTTAAAATTAGAGAGAGAGAGAGAGAGAGAGCACTCGCGCTCACCGACTTGTGGGGAACTCACACCTGACAAAGGACCTTTCTTGTGGGGAAAGTTCAGAATTGTGGGGAACTCTCTCGTTCCCCACAAATATGGTCATGGGGTTTTTTGAATTCTACGTGTTCTACTGATAATATTTATTCGATTTGTGGTCATTTTTGAAAAAAATCCCCATAAGTCCGTAAAATTGACTCGCGGTAATTTTCTCACTGCACCGTAAAACGAATGTTTGAGGATGCTGGGAAATGTTCATTCGGAACGCAGCGGAATTTAAACTGGTCCCCATATGATACCAATTTATTGCGGGCAATGGCTGCTCCGAGAATATGTGGTAAGTAGATTTTTTATCATATTTAAAAGATATTATAAGCTGAAAACTTATTTAACTACGTAAATCATGCATGCAGTTATTTCTTACAGACGTTCGTAAAGTAACATTTAATAATGAATGCACGTAAAACTTTGGGAAAGTTTGACCCGACCTAGACCTCGGTTATTTATTTTTTTAATTGTATCATGTTTATAGGCCTAATGGCTATCATGTAAGAACAAACTACGGATTTATATGATTTCAGCACCCCCGGGGTATGGTAAGCGTTTAAGGCTTGTCCCCATTTTTTGTGAAACGCGACTATCCTCCTCATGCCCATACAAATTATGCTAGACGGTGCGACTGTCTGGTCTTTAGCTGTTTAGTGAGGCCTGTGTGGGCGAATTAATTGTAAAAGTTAATCTGACTTAAACTGTACGTGTATTTATAAACGATGTCAGTCACACACTGACTCAGTGTCAGAAATGTATCACAGAGAACTCCACCTTTTCAAAAGGTCCATTGAAATCAGTACATTTATAGATTTACGTAGCTAAAATTTCTTAGCTTGGTTAGATTATTTAACATGTTTAATTCTTCCAAAAAAAACTTGATTTAGTTATCGTTTTTTTATCAAGTCATTCTTCCTACTTGTATATATTTCTTCGCATGCGTTGGTTTGCATAGTGTCCATTTGCCTTCATTATCTTTCACCTGCACCCTGTTCTACATTCATCCTGATTGCCCTACTGAAAATATTTTCATGATTTTAGACCATCATTATTGATGTATCATAAGTATTTTTTTTTATTTTGCTAAGGCCAAGATAAATAGATAGTGTTTCCTATTTTAACCTTAGAAAAGATAGGGTAGGTAGGTAGGAAAAACATTTTTATTTTATTTTAACATTTTATTGGCAGGCAAGCTGCCACTTTCCCCCAGGATTTCACTGTCAAAATATTTCTGATTAATATGTGTAAGATATGCATTTCTCAAACATGGAAGTGATCAAGATTGGGATTTCATTTCTAATTGTAAACTGGAATTCCGAATACTGTAATATGTGTATATAATTTGGTGCTTTCAAAATTTAGCATAAGGCCAAAAAAAAAAATACCTGTGTTTCCGGTTACCCGACCGACCCTAATTTTACGCGCCGACCCTAGCACTTTTTATTGCAAATCCGGATTACGTACCGTAATTTGTTCTAAAACTACAGTCTTCAAAACGCGCGCAGTTAAAAAGGCACTTGTAAAAGATAAATAAAAGCGTCTTTTCAAGCATTTTAAGATTATACATGCATAGATAATAGCTCTTTTCCCCTTAGATCGTTCCCTCCTTTACCCCTTTAATGACGACTTTTGACACTTAGCATCCAACCCTTAATGAGACTTTTGACCGAATCGATGTTGATACGTGTGTATATTTTCATTGTTGATTTGACTTGAAATTACCGCTTGTTTTTAAATTATCAGAGCACAGGTGGCCACCTACAGGTTAACAATAGATGACTGCACCATACTGCAGTTGGAAATCACATGATTTACTTGTTTAAAAAACATAAGAATCTCGGAAAGTCCCACCAAAATTCAAAATGGCGGACTGTTACTTACGATGGTTTTTGAGCATATAATTCAGTCAATACGCAATATTTTCTCATCCAGTAAAGCATTACATGAAATTCAAGCTATCAACTACATTTTCCTTGAAATGTTTGATAATTATAATGATCTACACGTGTAATATACTTCAATATAAGTTACGAAAATTTTGTGAAGTTCGGAACCGCGCAGTGCCGATTTCGTTACCTGTTTCTCAGAAATTCAGAAGATATCTTCCATTTTACGCATTGTTATAAATGTAAAGGTGTAGAAAATAATTATTTAAATAGAATTTGATCATTAAAATATTCGAAAACGTTTAGAAATCAAGCTTTATCACACAAATTTGAAAATTTGTTGGCGAGATTGACATTGTAGTATCAGTACAATTATTGATTTCTGAGGAATCAAACTTATAAAATGGATAATAAATTAATAATTAATTAAAACATCACACATAAATTTCATAGTTACTATGTCTTTACATGTAATGATAATGAGGTCGAGGTAGAAGTAGGCCTGAAAAACTATCTTGAATTCTTTATTTTACTTTTTTGTTAAATGTGACAAATTTTCATTATTAAATTGTGATTGAAATTCAAATGTCTTTTTCTGTAAATCAATTTCTTCCAATTGGTTCTGCTACCTACCTCTAGAAAACAAAATACTTCTTGTTTATATTTAATATCAGTTTACCTAAAAAACAGTCAAATATAATGTTCAGTTAAAATAAAAAGTAAAAGTAAAAAAAAAAGTAATTGCCTACCTACCTACCCTAATTTTCAGGGACATGTTACCGGAAACACACATTTTTTTTTTTTGGCCTAATCACTGGGTTGGCATAATCATAAATTAGCGCTACACATGTATGTGCGGTGTATTGTATATATCAATATGTAAATGATTTCTTAGCAGTATTCATGAATTAGTGCATTGTTGTCTGCACCAAAGCCGCTAAAATATGAAGCCTGCATTTTAAAGTATACATACAGTAGTTTACTCATGGAAAGATATTAGCAGAAAAAATATTGAGGGTCTGCTCCTATACTTCTTAGAGTTAGGTGGGGAACTAAACATGCTGAAAACACACTACTTATTTATTTAGGCCCAAATTAAAATGTCTAATAAATTCATTTTAATTAAATACTTATTGTTAATTAAAGATCACCTTTTATTTTTAAAATTTGTTACAATTCAAACCTTGGCCTTGGGGTTTAGATGCTGATGGAATAAATAAGAAACAAAATCATATGTAAAAAATAACTAAAAATCCTTTTCAAAACCTCAATTACTATTGAATTATGATTGGGCGTGGTATACAAAATAATGCGAATTGGAGGAAATGGAGAAACATAGTAATATATTTACATTCAATGTAATTTTCTTTATGAAAACAATTAGAATTCCACGGCGTTCAAATTTCAATAACACACGCGAAACTTTGTCACCGCGCGTTAGATTAATACACAGTAGGAACTACATGCATATTCAGTATTTAGGAACACCAAAATGTATATTGTTTTTGACTCAGTTTCATTTAAAAATATACACTTTAAAGATTAACATAAAATACAAGAAATGCGCATAAAAATTAATTTGTCATTTTTTTCCCTCGCAATGTTTCTTTGCGTTATTTAAATTTCCAACGTCACAAACGGCTTTCCAACGTCACGAACGGCTATTACGTTTTTTAAGCACACCAATACCAAAGGGCGCTAAATTCTCATTAAACATGAACGAAATAAACAATTTTGATAAAGGAAAATTAGAGAATGTAAATATAAGCATTGAATTCATATTTTGGGATGTCTTCGGTCCTATAACACACCTGGCCGTGCCGACAAATTATCATACCGCGCTAACGCGCGGTATTCAATTTGTCGGCACGGCCAGGTGTGTTATAGGACCGAAGACATCCCAAAATATGAATTCAATGCTTAAAACAATTAGATCAGCTTTTATGATAGCGAGCATATTAAAAATTTAAAATTGGTTATAAAATTGAAAGGTAATGTTGAGATTTTAAGATTTAATATCTATTATTCATAATTATTTATATTTGCTTAACTGAATTTATACCTTTTTAAATTTATTTACATATAACGATCGCGCTCAAAGTTTTGGGTCTGATAATGCTTCCTGATTTTGGTCTTTTATTTTTTTTTTAAGAAAACCATTTGATTTCTGCACCCACTCCTCCTTTCTAAAAATTTTTAATCTGCCTCTGGTAACTTTACGCTGTAAATTTCTATTCTCATTTTAATTAAATTTAAATAAATACTAACAGCACTATCATGCAATTTCAATGACTATCATTTAAGGTATTGATTCAGTTTTCTGTCATTCCTAAAAATAAGTTGTACTGTATCGTTGATTTTTTGCATATAAAACAGTTTCTGCTCATCAAACATCCACGAGAAAGTGTACAGTTCTGTTTCGCAGTTATTGTACGGTTGATTTAAAAGGGAAAGCTCTCTGGGCCATGTCACAAGAAGGAAAAAAGTAAAATATTTTTCATACCTACCTACCCACTGTTAACAATATGGTTCAGGAAAGGGCATACATTAAGTCTTAATTTTGGCATGCCGCATAGGGTCAAAAATTACTATTGAGTGATGTGGAGATATACCTGTCTTGTAATTATAGGTAAAGATATGAACACTTTAAAAAAAATATACAATGAAATCTTTGAACTAGTGTTGTCACGATGATCGATTTATAATCGATGATCGGTCGGAACGTCTGTCGATTTTAGACATCGATTGGAGATTTTAACAATCGATTAATCGGTATATTTCAGCTCATATCTTTTTTTTTTACAGTTTTTTCACTTTTATTTCAAGAACAGGCTCTTGTTATCAAAATGTATATCTTTCAAGAGTTGTCCTTTACTATTTTAAAATACATGTACTTAAAATCTGTTTAAAATAAATCAAAAGATAATGATATTTGTATTTCTAAACTGAAGAAACTAAACTAATTGTTTAAATAAAACATATTAATTTTCAGTATTTGGGGGAATTCACCTGTCACAAGGATTTGCAATATGAAATGTCTTATAACAGTTTAAAAAATAAATTCCATATACATTTTAGATGATCATGTAAATTAAAACCTGACCTGTCAATGCTTCCTTTTCCCAGGCCAAGTAATTCCTAATCATGCAAAAATCTGTATCACTGAAATCGTTAATCAAACTGAGTATATACTGTTTTTAGAATTTCGATCTGTACAATGCACCTTTACTTACATTATTTAACAATAAAATTCTAATTTTTACAAAATCTAATGCCTATTTTATGCAAAGGGTTACCGATTCGATTATTGGCCGATGATCAGTCGGTTAGGGTCAACCGATGTTACCGATTAATCGATTCTGAGTTTCAACCGATTTGACAACACTACTTTGAACTGAAAGCAAAATTATCATTGCAGGTTTTCGGGTTTTCACCACAAGAGCAAATTATACAACTTTATTCTTGAAAATGTTAGAGACTGAGACTTGGAGTCAAAGTCAACAGACACGCTTGCATGGACATGAAGGATGTAAAGAACTAGAGTATTATAACTGAAAGCATTTTGTCTGGATTTGTGTATGGAAACAGAAGGATTTAGTATTGGTAAGTCAAGATAGCTGTAAAATCTCATTTTGAACTCTATATGTGAGCAGTACTGTAAACCAACTACCAGGTAGTACACATGTACCCTATTTGTGTCATCTTTTATTTGCATATCTAATCTGTGTTGATTAATTTCCGTGACTAATGAAAGGAAACATTCTCTACAAATATAAAGCAAAATTAATAGTCCAGGGCAATTAATAATTTACTAGTCACTAGTAAATGTAGGTCATGAAACTGGCAAATATTTCTTGCACTCAAATAAAAGTTGGTTTACAGTACTTCCGTTGCTCTAAAAACAGAAATAATAATAAAAAAAAGCATGCTGATATCATGCAGGGATTTTCCACACCATTTTGGGAATGGGGCCCAGGCCCTTGAAATTGGGAATTTAACGGCATTTTATCAATAATTGGGAAATTTTATAGCATGATATTTTTCAAGAAATAAACACTTAAAATTAATAAATATGATGTTTTCCTTAATTATTCAAAATTGTAAAGCAGATGATAGAACAATAATAATAAATTTTTAGCCAATTTTCATAAAATATTTGTTTATTTTATTCATTTAAAAAAAACTGGCCATTATTTTACCAGAAATTTAATCAAGTTAACTTTATGGGTTCTATTTTGGGAAAAATAGTGATTTTGCAATTGGGAATGGGGCCCATATTCGGCCCTACACGGGGCAGTGGAAAATCCCTGTCATGTATGTTATGAAGCCTAATACATGTACATAGAAGTATATAAACTGGTATATCTAAAATTAAAAAAAAATTTGGTCCTTGTTCATGATTTCAAAGTAGGTTAAAAGCCTCATGAACATGCTGAGAAGTTGTCAGAAAATATACATGTGTGCTAACCATGCTAACTGTGTAACAATAATCAGAAAATTTTACAAAATATAATCAAAATTTGGTTAATAATAATTAGTCAATGGCCAATTAAATCCATCAATGATTAAATTAGTACTTATATATACTGTCTCCTGATTTTATGACTTTTTATCCTTTTCAACATACTTATTTTTTTTGAATTGAAAACATTTTTTTTTACCTGAGAAAATTAAAATTTGCAATTTGTTTTAAATCTAGTGAAGGAAAACAAATGTTTTTAAAATTAATGTGCTTTGATTTAAAAGACTTGTAAACATTAGATTAGTAATACATGTAGTTTCAATACAATTATTAATATTGATGATTGATTTTTTTTAAGATTTGATAGTTATTTTATTTGTTGAAAAATAATTTTTATCTGTAATGTTCATGTATAATAAAATAATGCATTTCCCAATAAGTGATAAATGTTTCCCACAAGTCAGCAATATACACTGAACTGTACATTTATTGGTTGGGTTCAAAGGCAACATTTATATGGAAACAAAGTTTTAAGGGTAAAGCAATGGTCAATACATGTGTATTCCTCACAAGTGAACAGTGAGAAATATTCCCCACAAGTCAGCAGTGATAAATATTACCTAAAATTGTTAACTGTGAGAAATATTCCCCACAAGTCAGCAATGATAAATATAACCTACGTGAGAAATATTCCCCACAAGTCAGCAGTGATAAATATTCCCCACAAGTCACCAATGAAAAGTATTACAAGTTAACAGTGAGAAATATTCCCCACAAGTCAGCAGTGAGAAATATTCCCCACAAGTCACCAATGAAAAGTATTACAAGTTAACAGTGAGAAATATTCCCCACAAGTCAGCAATGATAAGTATTACCTACAAGTCAACTGTGAGGAATATTCAATAACAACATACAATTATTTTAACCCATTCTCAATCAAATTTGGGGAGTAAATTGGAATTAGCATGTCTGTCTATCTTTCTATAGGCATTACATATTGAGGGATAATAATGGCATTATTTTTTAGGAAATCTCACATCAACTTCCTGTTTATCTGTGCGTGTAAATTTTTATGTTTTTTTTTTCAGCAACTACTATGGTAGCAAGAAGTTTGAAATTTTTTAACACTCTTTGTCGAGGCATATTATATACTGGTAGTGAGATTCATTTTTATGCAAATTCGATGTCAACTTCCTATATATCCACGTGTCTCGAGATCTGTACGCAATTTTTGTTGCAGTTTTTTCACCAACTGACTATCACAGATATAAAAATGTGGTACATGTATCCATTAGATTGAACCCTAGCAATAAAAATCCTGAGTAGCATTCTCTACTGAGACTAGCAAGCTAACCACTATGCTACACAAGTCCTGATGAGGATTGGCATTTAAATCATGTTTGTGATATGACCATTGACTCAGTGGACTTCAAGTTTTTCTCGAAAAGATACAAAAGTTATATCATAAAATTATAATTTTTTAAAAGGTTTATTGGGTTTTTACTCCATAATTTTGGAAATCAAAATAGTATATTTCATTTTGTATGCAAACTTTGAGGATAAACTTGAAAAAAAAGTGGAGTGAAGACCCACTCATACATTTCAAAACATTGTTTTAAAAAGTGTGTAGTGTTGTTATGATAGTCGCTGACTATCGAAAAATCGTCGTTTAAAGGCCCAGATTGGCGACAATCGATTGTAAATATTATCATCGATAGATCACTATATTTTTCAAGCCGTATTTCTCAAGCCGAGCAGGTTTAACTTTTATATTCACCAAAGGGACATCACTCTAATCAGCAGTAAACAAAATGAGAACGTGCATGGTAAAGAGGTTATAATTATTATATCCATATCCTGGTGCATTGTCTTTTTAAAATACTTCTAAGGATGAATAAATCTAACCTTTTATAACATTTAAAATTATCAATTATATAATTATATAAGTGATTGTGTTCTTCCGATTCAATTTGATAATAGTAAATTTGTCCAATTTTACAACACTAAAAGTGTGAAAAAATGACTCAATTTGCCCTTTTTCGCGTGTGTATTATATTTTACAGGCCAAAAACTTCAATCTTCATGAGATATGTATAAGTTGTATAGATTTGACAGATTTACATAAAGTATACTTTAATTTTAGATGAAATATTTCGGAAAATTTTGATACAATACTTGATATCGCGATTACTTAACTTAGCTGAACTCTTTCATGAAGGAGGTAGGAATCATCTGTTGGGTGGGAGCAATGTGCTATTCAATACAATTAATGCAAGATCGATCATTGTAGCATTTAAAAGGACAGATAAGTAAAAAATCCTGGTGGAATACCTCGCTAGACAATCGCTGAACCAGCCTTATACATTTTTGAGAGGAGCCAATCCTAAATTGTCACATTTTTAAAGATATGTTTAATTAAGCGGACTCTTATAGTTAAATTTTCATTGAAAATCGTCACATTTTTCAGTATATAAAATATTCTTAACTTTCCTTATTTGACAATCTACTATTTGGAATTCAATATCTGGCAAAACATCGTGATTTTGGCATTAAATTGTTCGAATCATTCGATTGTCACTAATGTAAACAATGTCATTTGCCCCCAGAAATTTATAATTTATAGACTTTTCTTGACTCCCTCGCAAAAGAGCGGAGGTAAGTTAGATAACTGCGAGGTACTCATTGGTAGTCGCGACATAACATATTGAGATTTAATTTTTTCACCTTCATGTTTGTTGCGCTATAGGCTTATCCCTTGTTATGTTCTCGGACTCCCATCTCATTTATCATCCAATAATAAAATACATATCCAAAGCATGTGAATTATATTTAGATGATAATTAAATACATATGATAAAAAATAGATAAAAATTGATATTTTTGTCCTTTCTACTCTTCATGCATATAACATGTATAAAGTCCACAACAATAAAATGATTCATTTCATTTTTGTTAGGATTTGTTCATCGACATCCAACATATTGTTTACATGTTTATGTTACGTTTGTCCCAGAAATCCTGAAAGATTTGTACACTCTGCAACTTTTTTACAGAGGAGCGCACTAAAATCTTAAACTCTTCCATAGTTGAAATAAGACGTATTGGTAAATAGATTTTGCCCTGTAGTCCATCTGGCTGTTTGTCCTCAAAAACTTTAACCTTGCTCATAACTTTGGAGTGAGTGGGGCTATGGCTTTCATATTTCACTGCTGTACACTTGTATTTCTTGTGACAAGACCTTTCTCTGGGTACCACCACCACCAAATTTGACCTCTTGACCTTGAAGTTTGACCACTTTTACAAAAATATATCACTCTTCAACCTTAGTTATAACTTAGAACTTTTGCACAGTTGGTGTTAGGGCTTCCATACTTCTCATTGGTATGTTCAATAATTTTTTTGACAGGTCTGCCCAAGTTTTGTATTAAAACGCTTCTGAAACTCATCTGTAAAAAACATTTAATATTGTTGGCCGATTTAAACATTTCGGGAAAATAGCAAAAAAAATGAAAACGTGAAAAAAAAACTATGAGGTTCGGAGAGTAAAATGGAGGATAGGTCAGGTGACAGGAAACATGAGTACAGTCATGTATATTTTTTTTGCCCCGGTATAGTGTCATATTTGATATTATATGGAATATGTGATTTGCAGCACATTCTTACTGATATTTCTTTAAATTACAGGTATCCTGAATTTTTGTCAACTTATAGCCAAGATCCTGTACTTAAGCTGAATGTGGAGGACAGATGTACACACAGTACTAGTATAGAGGGTAAGTAGACCATAAAAAAAAACAAGATGTGTTTGTGAAACACTATGCGCCCGGCGGCAACAAAGTTTGGAAAAAGCTATTTTTAGCTCACCTCGACGAAGTCGAGATGAGCTTATGCTATACCCCCGGCGTCGGCGTCGGCGTCGGCGTCCCAGGTTAAAGTTTTAGGAGCAAGTCCATTCCCAAGTAACTATAAGCCCTACCTGAACCAAACTTGCATGGATGATGCATCTAGGGATGTACACTACCAGACTTGCTTCGGATGCTGGATCTGATCTACATTTTCTAGATGAGTGACCTGCTTAAAGTTTTTGGAGCAGGTTAAAGTTTTTGGAGCAGGTCCATTTCCAAGGAACTATAAGCCCTACCTGAACCAAACTTGCATGGATGATGCATCTAGGGATGTACACTACCAGATTTGCTTCGGATGCTGGATCTGATCTACATTTTCTAGATGAGTGACCTGGTTAAAGTTTTTGGAGCAGTTAAAGTTTTTGGAGCAGGTCCATTTCCAAGGAACTATAAGCCCTACCGGGACCAAATTTGCATGGATGATGCATTTAGGGATGTACACTACCAGACTTGCTTCGGATGCTGGATCTGACCTACATTTTCCAGATGAGTGAACAGGTTAAAGTTTTTGGAGCAGGTTAAAGTTTTTCCAGTCCATTCCCAAGGAATTATAAGCCCTACCCAGACCAAACTTGCATGGATGATGCATCTAGGGATGTACACTACCAGACTTGCTTCGGATGCTGGATCTGATCTACATTTTCCAGATGAGTGACCAGGTTAAAGTTTTTGGAGCAGGTCCATTCCCAAGTAACTATAAGCCCTACCCAGACCAAACTTGCATGGATGATGCATCTAGGGATGTACACTACCAAACTTGCTTCGGATGCTGGATCTTACCTACATTTTCCAGATAGGAGACCTGGTTAAAGTTTTTGGAGCAGGTCCATTCCACAGGAACTATAAGCCCTATTTGGACCAAACGTGCATGGATGATGCATCTAGGGATGTACACTACCAGACTTGCTTCGGATGCGGGATCTGACCTACATTTTCATTCCCAAGTAACTATAAGCCCTATTTGGACCAAACTTGCATGGATGATGCATCTAGGGATGGACATTATCAGACTAGCTTCGGATGCTGGATCTGACCTATATTTTCATTCCCAAGTATCTATAAGCCCTAGCTAAACTAAACTTGCATGGATGATGTATCTAGGGATGGACACTACCAGACTTGCTTCGGATGCTGGATCTGACCTACATTTTTATTCCCAAGTAACTATAAGCCCTAGCTAAACCAAACTTGCATGGATGATGCATCTAAGGATGGACACTATCAGACTTCCTTCGGATGCTGGATCTGACCTATATTTTCCATACAAGAGGCTTGGTTAAAGTTTTGGGAACAGATCAATCCGAATGAACTTGAAGACCTTGATATCTGCATTATTAACAGTTATGAATATTTGTTTACACTATACATGTACATATTTTTCACACTACAGGCTTAGAAATGTGTATATGCCATGTAAGGGGTTTAACACAACTTGCAAGAATATTGTTGTTGGGATGAATACTAAATATTAAGAAAATATGATGTGAGATTTGCATTACTTAAACTGATAACATTCGTCGAGGTGAGCTTCGTAATCTTTGATTACCTATGTTTAGCATTAAGGTCACAGTCAAGGTCACAAAGTCATTGACCTTGGTGTCATTTGAAAGAGGTTGATTAGTGGAGTATGGAGTGGACTCCATGCCACTAAACTGGAAGTAAACACCGCAGTGAATATTTTACGTAATTGAAGAAGAGAAAAAAATTGTATGTAAATCTTCATGTACAATATTATGTTTCCATATGTGACCAATTAAAAAAAAAATATATTTTTAAAACAAAATAATGCCTCATCAGGTCGGTAAGACAAGCTGTTTGGCTCTTTGTTGACTTGGCTTTTCAATGATTTAAATTTGGCACTGTGTAAAAATAGAATTATCTGTCCCTGGTACATATCGTCTTACAAGTAAGAAAAAGAATTGATAACTTTTAAAGTTTTCTTAAATATGTTTAAAATAACTGAATCAAAATATGTTGAATAATTATTTATTTTATTTCATTTGAACAAGCTTTCATCATCATGATCATGTTCATAGACGTCAAATATACACTGCGAGATTTACTTCCAGTTTAGTGGCATGGAGTCCAGGATGAGCTGTTAAAGTGGAAAAAGGGCCAGAAACGGCCTGTAGTCGTCAAGAAGATTGGATTTCTTAACTTGAATAAATAGTAAAACGCTCCGAATACTGAATTTGTTGCGAGATTTTTTAGGCCAAGCCCAGATCTATTAGTTTAAGTGTGTCCCCCCAAAACATATTGCCATCATGGTGTATTTTAGTTGAAGGTAGGAAAATTTCTTTCCGGATTTTTTTTTTTTGACGATAAGAACTTCAGACTCCTGTCCTATAACATTTTTAAAAATATTTATTGATTTTTTTTAAAGTCACTTGCCCACGGGCATGTACCTATTAAAAAATTCACTTGCCTCCCCCCCTTAAAAATTCACTAACCCCGGGCGTCGGGCAATGGGATTTGTCAGACCCTGGTAGTGTAGATTCAAGCTTGTTCAAATCATGACCCCCCAGGGGTAGGGTGAGACCACAATGGCCGATCAAAGTTTTACATAGGAGTATATAGGAAAAATCTTTAAAAATCTTCTTCTCAAGAACTACTGGGCCAGGAAAGATGAAACTCATGTGTAATCATCTTCAGGTAGTGTAGATTCAAGTTTGTTCAAATCATGACCCCCGGGGTAGGATGGGGCCACAATAGCTGATCAAAGTTTTCCTAGGAGTATATAAGAAAAATCTTTAAAAATCTTTTTCTCAAGAAAGATGAAACTCACCCGGAATCATATTCAGGTAGTGTGGATTCAAATTTGTTCAAATCATGACCCCCAGGGGTAGGGTGGGGCCACAATGGCCAATCAAAGTTTTACATTGGAGTATACAGGAAAAATCTTTAAAAATCTTCTTCTCAAGAAACACAGGGCCAGGAAAGATGAAACTCATGTGTAATCATCTTCAGGTAGTGTAGATTCAAGTTTGTTCAAATCATGACCCCCAGGGGTAGGATGGGGCCACAATGGCCGATGAAACTCTTTCATAAGAATATATATGAAAATCTTTTTAAATCTTCTTCTCAAGTACTTCAAAGCCATGATTAGTGATATTTATATGGAATCAACCCCCTTAATGTATATTTTATTTTGTTAAAATCATAACAAAGCGGCACCCCCCCCCCCCCGCCTCTCAATTTTTCAGTTTTGACCTGATCTGTGCTTTTTCCTAGACAATGTGCTCAGGTGAGCCCCGGTTAAATAAAAAGGTCAAGGATTAAAATCATTCCAAGGTCCGAAACATCTCGATCTTGTCTCACAAAAGGGACATCAAAAATTAAAACCAAAATCAAATGTTACAATGAAAACAAGACTCACCGGGGTAGGGCGGTGCCACAATGGCTGATCAAAGGTTTACATAGAATATATAGGAAAAATCTTAAAAAATCCACTGGGCCAGGAAAGATAAAACTCTTGTCGAAGCATCCTTAGGTGGTGTAGATTCAAGTTTGTACAAATCATGACACCCGGGGGTAGGGCAGGGCCACACTGGCTGATCAAATTTTTATATAGAAATATATAGGAATTTTTTTCTAAAATCCTTTGCTCAAGATCAGCAAAGCTATGATTGTGATATTAATATGGAAATATCCTCAGAGTTAATTCAAGTTTGTTCATAACATGATCTCTTGGGTTTAGGGAGGGTTAATGAGGGGTCACAATGGGAGATCAAGTAATATCTTTTCAAGTATGGCAAAATTTAGCTGCAGATCTGTAGCACTATGGTTTTATAATTTGTCTGACTCTAACGCTACAGGTCCCGTAATGCAAAAAAGGTGTAATTTACGGGGCATTGTTTGCGCACTTTTGGGGAAAATTTTTCCATTTTCTAGCATTGGTCAATCAACTACCTTTCCATTCCTAATTCTGGACTTATTCTGTATAAAATAGTGTATATTTTATCCACCTCCCAACCATTTTTAGTTATATCTACAGTTAAAAAACTCACTTGAAGTGAATTTTCAGCAGTACATGTATAACATATAATTTTAATCAAGCGAGTTCTCAAGTATTAAAAAATTTCATCCCCCCCCCCAACAAGTAAACTTCAATACTGAGCTGACTTGTGTTTTTTTAACTAGCCCATGTGCTCAGGTGAGCGATGTGGGCCCATGGGCCTCTTGTTTTCATTGTAACTTCTGATTTTGGTTTTCATTTTTGATGTCCCTTTTGTGAGACAAGATTGAGATGTTTCGGACCTTGGAATGATTATAATCCTTGACCTTTTTATTTGACCTTAATTCAAAATATTGCTTTGGAATTGACAATATATGATAGGGAATTAATATTTAACACAATATGCTATATATAATAGCACCTTACAAACTAAGACACCGAAAGCGAGGGACCACAATTATTTGAATTTGCTTGATTACATTGCTTTAAATGCTCAGAAATGATGTTTTCTAATTTCAGGTATTATCTCGGTACCTTAAAACTCCAAACGACAGGGAGAAGAAGAAAACTGCATATTTCCGATGTATCTTCACAGCAACATGACCCAAAGCACTACCATTAAAGGATTTGATTTGACATTAAGGAAGTAAAAAAAGGAAGGCATTAGTCATAAAGAAAATTAAAGAACTTTATGTCTGAATATTATATCAACAATACCATAGATCTAAAGATGGATTATTTTGCCTTATAATTTATATTAATGCATGTACATGTAATTTTATTCTTTTTATATATACAATCATGTAGTGTTACCATTTTTCACAAAGCTTAAAAAGTTATGTAGGGCCACACCAATTTAATTTCTTGTTCGTCGGACATTTGATTTAAAAAAAGTACAAGCAGTTAAATGATAATATTATTACTCTTTGCTGGGCAATTTTTTAGGCAGATCGTGAAAATTTGAGCGGACAATTATATTTTTTCTGATTTACAGAGTAAGCAGATATAAAATACAATGAATAGAGCGGAAATGGAACAGAAAATAGCACAGAATTCCTATGGTGCGAGAAATTGAAATTAATATTATTTGTATGGTTTTGTTTAAATAAGCGTGTGGGTCCGACGAACAAAAATTTTCATTAGTGTGGCCTAGATCATTTAGATTCAATTCATTTTTTTCTTCAAATTACCACATGCCAGAATTCATAAGAAGGAAATTTATATATGGCTGGTGGTTGTGGCCATTTTTAGACTATAATGATCTCCTTTAGAAGGAGAACTTATAAAATTATACAAAAAATGACCAAATTTTAAAACTAAAATGTACAGAATTTTTCTTTGCCAAATGTTAGTTCATAGAACCACAATTCTTCAATCATGTATACTTGGAGATCAGTGGATGGATATTCATATACAATACACAGCTGAAGCAGGTTTTGTTAGGTTATTTTATTTTCAAAAGGAATGCATTATTTTCTTCAGTCCATTAATGTTAAGCTCTTTAATAGAAACAATTGTAGAAGATTTATCATATTTTGTTTAGAATTTTGAAGAATTTGTTAATCACTCAGTGAAAATTATCCCTTGTCATAATACAAATTTTTAAAATGTATGTACAAATACTTTTATGTTGAAATGACCATGCAAGGAAGAAAATAAAACAAGTTTAAGTGTACACTTTATGCTTTTATATCCAAATTGGCTTCTGTGGAAGGAGAAAGGTTCATATATAGTATATTAATTAAAGGAGTACATAATGTCCTTTAGAATTTCAGTAAAATTTCTTGACTTTCATGTTAAGGTCATGCGCAACGTAGTTTTAACTTTTTTGGATTCTGCCTTGGAGTTGAAGAGTTCCACTAAAAGAAGGGCCTGTGTGCAATATTTTTAATGTCTATATATGGATTTGTACACCTCTTCTTAAACAATTTTTGATGGAAAAAAATCTGGAATTCATGTTTTATAATTTTTGTACATTTTTATTTAAATAATGCAAAAATTTTCAAAATTCGATATCTTTTCAAAACCCCTGGAAACGCATGCTGATTTTTTGTCCAAGAACATTTAATGATATTATAAATAAGTTTAAATTTAGAATATCTTGGAAAATTATCAGTAGGTAAGGTACGTTGTGTATGTCCTTAATAGACATGAATTTAATTCGAATGGGGGTTGCATTCCATTCCATCTTGTTTTGAAAATGAAAGGATTAACTTCCATTGTAATTGTCGTACATCTCAATACATTCATATACTAGAATGAGTAGATTATATAGAAGAAATTTGAGAAAAAAAGGAAAGGAAGTAAAAGTCAATACATGTGAATAAGGCCACACTGTCCGTCGGACACTTGATGAAAAAAGTACGAGCGGGGTAGCGGTTAGATAATAATATTATTACTTTTTTGAAGGCAAAATTTTAAGGCGGGGCGTGAAAAAAATTGAGCGGACAATTATATTTTTTCTGATTTGCAGAGTAAGTAGATTAAAAGTACGATAAATAGAGCGGAAATATAACGGAAAACAGCAAAGAATTCCAATGGTGCGGGAATTTCAAATTTATATTATTTGTATAGTTTTGTTTAACTAAGAGCGCGCGGGTCCGACGAACAATAAATTTTATTGGTGTGACCTAATTCCTAGCTGCAGAACTGTAGCGTTGTGGTTTTAAATATTAGTCTTGTCCATAAAGCTACAGATCCCGTAATGCAAAAAAAAGGTACCATTTACGGCTGAAGATTTTTTTGCGCACTTTGGGGGAAATTTCTCCTTTTTCCAGCATTGTTCAATCAACTAACTCTCACTCCCGAATTCTAGACACATTCTGTAACCAATCTGTATATTTTATCCACCTCCAAATCCTTTACAGTGGTAAACTGATTTGATTAGAATCGTTTGTTAAATTGCTGAAAATACACTTCAAGCGAGTATATCGCCTGTAGAGACTGCTATCAGGCATGTAGCATCGTTTTTGAAAGTGGAGGGGGGGGGGGCAACCAGAGAATTTTTTTTTACTTACCTGTAAAAGTTGACAAGCATAAAAAAAAAATTCCCAACTTTTTCCAAGGCCAACTTCCTTTTTACTTCCAATTTTTTCGCATACAATACATACAATACTACATTTCCTTCATATCACTATACGGTGGTAAGAATTGGGGGGGGGGGGGAACCAACTTTACAGTGAACATTAACAATAATAAAGGTAATGTTGGGGAAAAAAGTGGGGGGGGGCTAGGCCTCCTCCTGGCCCCCACGGTTGCTTCGTCCCTGACTATAAAGAGTTGAGAGGTGGATAATATAAACAGATTGTTGAAAGAATGTGTCTAGAATTAGTGAGTGAATGGTAGTTGATTGATCAATGCTTAAAAGTGGAGAAATCCCCCCCCCCCCCCAAACTGCGCAAAACGCAATGTTTTCACTCAGGACCAGTGGCTTGCGAGGATGGACTAAAACTATATTAAGAACCTCCTGAACTAGTTTTGAAATTTTTTCTCCGGAATTGGGGGGGGGGTTACTTTTTTTAAGGTCAAGGCAAGGACTCAGAATTTAGAGGAGTAAAGGGCTTATCGAGCCCAAAAGGGCAAGGAGAGCGTTGTTTTTCAATTTTAAAAAATCAGTGATCGTCATGACAGAAAAAAAAAACATCAATGAAAGTTTTATATGATTCAACGATTAAAACTGATGGAGCAGACATGTCAAGTTTCTTGTTTCTTGTTTAAAAGTCAGAGACATGCAAACCCAATGAGACCATCGGAGCTAACATCAGCTTAATTTAACCAGTATAAGTTTTGTATTTGAAATCTTTTTTTGGCAAAATGTAGAAAAACAATAAATATCGAAGCATACCAATGAAAGGTGTATTTTAAGAGGCAAAATGACAAATTACCTTAGAAATATCTTGGATCAAAAAGTTTTGTGATGTAAGGGTGATTTCCTTTTACTCTTCTGTATCAAATTTAAAACGTTTGGGGGTAGCATGAAAAGGACAATCAGACTTCCAGTGAACATTTTAAATGTTAAAAAAGAACAACAACAAAATACAAGAGGCCCATGGGCCACATCGCTCACCTGAGAAGCTTTGACCATTCTGTTCTTTACCAGATTTCACCCTTGTTATACATAATGCAACCCCACCCTACCCCACTGATCATAATTTAGACATTCTGAAATCTACACTACCCCATGATCCTTCCATGGGCACATATGTTTCAGCTTTTTTGGCCCAGTGGTTCCTGAGAAGAAGATTTTCAAAGATTTTTCCTATATATTTCTATATTAAACTTTGATTCCCTATAATGGCCCCGCCCTTCCCCCGGGGGTCATGATTCCTACAATTTAGAATTAATACTACCCCAGAATGCTTCCACATAAGCTTCACTTTTTCTGGCCCAGTGGTTCTTGAGAAGAAAATTTTCAAAGATTTTTCCTATATATTTCTATGTAAAACTTTGATTCCCTATAATGGCCCCGCCCTTCCCCCGGGGGTCATGATTCCTACAATTTAGAATTAATACTACCCCAGAATGCTTCTACATAAGCTTCACTTTTTCTGGCCCAGTGGTTCTTGAGAAGAAAATTTTCAAAGATTTTTCCTATATATTTCTATATTAAAATTTGATTCCCCATTGTGGCCCCGCCCTTCCCCCGGGGTCATGATTTGTACAATTTAGAATCTACACTATCCCAAGATGCTTTCACATAAGTTTCAGCTTTACTGGCCCAGTGGTTCTTGAGAAGAAGATTTTCAAAGATTTTTCCTATATATTCCTATATAAAACTTTGATAACCCATTGTGGCCGCGCCCTTCCCCTGGGGGTCATGATTTGAACAATTTAGATTCTACACTATACCAGGATGCTTCCACATAAGTTTCAGCTTTTCTGGCCCAGTGGTTCTTGAGAAGAAAATTTTCAAAGATTTTTCCTATATATTTCTATGTAAAACTTTGATTCCCCATTGTGGCCCCACCCTTCCCCCGGGGGTCATTATTTGAACAATTTAGAATCTACATTATACCAGGATGCTTCCACATAAGTTTCAGCTTTTCTGGCCCAGTGGTTCTTGAGAAGAAAATTTTCAAAGATTTTTCCTATATATTTCTATGTAAAAATTTGATTCCCCATTGTGGCCCCGCCCTTCCCCCGGGGGTCATGATTTGAACAATTTAGAATTAACACTATACCAGGATGCTTCCACATAAGTTTCAGCTTTTCTGGCCCAGCGGTTCTTGAGAAGAAGATTTTCAAAGATTTTTCCTATATATTTCTATATTAAACTTTGATTCCCCATTGTGGCCCCGCCCTTCCCCCGGGGGTCATGATTTGTACAATTTAGAATCTACACTATCCCAAGATGCTTTCACATAAGTTTCAGCTTTACTGGCCCAGTGGTTCTTGAGAAGAAGATTTTCAAAGATTTTTCCTATATATTTCTATGTAAAACTTTGATTCCCCATTGTGGCCCCGCCCTTCCCCCGGGGGTCATGATTTGAACAATTTAGAATTAACACTATACCAGGATGCTTCCACATCAGTTTCAGCTTTTCTGGCCCAGCGGTTCTTGAGAAGAAGATTTTCAAAGATTTTTCCTATATATTTCTATATTAAACTTTGATTCCCCATTGTGGCCCTGCCCTTCCCCCGGGGGTCATGATTTGTACAATTTAGAATCTACACTATCCCAAGATGCTTCCACATAAGTTTCAGCTTTACTGGCCCAGTGGTTCTTGAGAAGAAGATTTTTTAATGACCCCACCCTATTTTTGTCTTTTCTTGATTATCTCCCCTTGCGAGGTGATATGTCCCTTCATTTTTACAATTTAAATTCCCCTTTACTCAAGAATGCTTTGTACCAAGTTTGGTCAAAATTGGCCCAGTGGTTCTTGAGAAGAAGTCGAAAATGTGAAAAGTTTACAGACGGACAGACAGACAGACAGACAGACAGACGGACAGACGGACAGACAGACGGACGACGGACAAAATGTGATCAGAAAAGCTCACTTGAGCCTTCGGCTCAGGTGAGCTAAATACGATCATGGAAATAGAAGTGGGAGGATACTCCACCCCTCCTGATTCTATCACCCCCTCAAATCAAGGGTTTTTGATCCGCTCTGCTTTATGCGGGCATCAAAAACCGGAGGGCAAGCCCCTTCTCAATTTCCTTCGAGAGGTTCGAGGGTCCGACAAAACGCATTTAGCCCGAGAACTCTGTCAATAATTATTTTGTAATACTTTTCATATTATTTTATTGACATACATGTATTTTATACTGTATTCCGTGATTTAACGTTAACTGTTTAACGAATGAAAATGAGATTAAGCCCCACCCATTCTGTGGCGTAAGCGGTCCAACATCTCACTCAACAGTCCAACATCGATTTTTTTTTGTGCCCGCTCAGCAAAACATTAAAAATGTTAGAATTTTTTCGTTTAGATTTATGTAAGAACAAATTTTTAAAGGTATAGAATATGCCATTATTTGCAAATCGCGCTTTTAAATCCAACATATCACATTTACATAGTCATTGGCTATCTGAGTCTCCTTCTTATACAGTCATATACCTTTTATGTACAAACTAAACTTTGATTCGATTGATACAAGCATTTTAAAAAGTAGGAAGAACTTAGTATACATGTAACTTTACAATTCTAATGAAATGCTTATTTTACGATGAGCTT